ATCAATTAAAGATGAAAAACACACACTTGCAACTTTGGGATGGCAAGACCAAGCGACAGAGCCTTGATAAGGGAAGGCGCCATTTGAACCATATCTCCAAGCAGAAGGCAATCAAAGAGAAAGATAACCATCTTCAGAGGAGTACAAGAGACTCGGAAGGCACATGGGTCATAAGAGAAGAATCACTTCCTGGTTTGTGATGGATAGTAAAAATTTATGACCTATTAACCTTCCGCAAGCCTTTAAAAAATAAAGTAAAGAAAGGGGGTTACTTTCCAATAAATTGGTCATCATAAAGAACATAAAGCCATTTTGGATGTGTGTTTGGCAGCCTCAGCAGGAAGTGAGAATATTTACTGTAGAACACAACAAGACACAGAAGAATGCTCTTTGGATTAAGAGGCTTCTATTCGAACGCTGCTTAACTGTTTGCTGCCTTTTAGTAAAGGTCTGCCAAGAATGAGGACAAGGGAAGAAAGGACGTGGCAAATGAAGAAGGGGTAAAATGGGAAAAAGTGAGCCACTTCTGGGCATGCACTGCCAAAGATTCTTCCAAAAAATGTCCTGGATCAGAAAAAGGAGAAATGGGGGACACCAGAGAAGCCTATGCACTTCTAGGAAACAAATCCATTCCCAAAAATGAATGCATAAGAAATCTGTAGAATATTGCATAGGCTAATTAATATATAACTGTTACAATTTAAAAGGGTGAACAAGTGACAAACTACAGTATTCCAGTGTTCCTATCTCCTAATGTGAATATCTGAAGCCCTTGCTCTTTCTTTGTAAATCAGACTTCAGCCCCTGATCCTTTCCAACAGAGGACTGCCTTCTGCCCACCCCATGTGAGCACTGAAAAGGAGAGGAAGAAGATGCGATCATTGGCCGTGTTGGCTTAGCTGCATCACAAGTGGCAGACTAAGACACGCACAGGTGACAAAATACATGTGTGTGTGTGTGCGCACACACATACACATTTAAAGGGCTTAAATCTCAGATGTCACCAAATGCTGCAACATGTTGGTAATTTCAACCCTGAGGTCTCAGGCAAGAACAGAGAAATCTCAGGAGCTTGTGGCATTCTTGCAGCAAATCTTGTAAAATCTCATGAAATTTGGAATCTTGGATCTGGGCATCGTTAAAGTTGGGGGGGAACCTGCAGACTCCATCTAATGGGGAGAGAGATGCTGCAGTGGATGTGCAGATCATCCAGCTGATTCATATGGTTGTCTGGCTTCTATACCAGCAACAAATACACTTTATGCTGGGTTGTGATGGGGAGGGAACTGAGCCACCTTGCAGTGAAGACCGTTCACATTTTAAATAGATACTAGAATAAAGTTAGGCTTGACAATAAACGGGACGTGATAATGTACAACAGATTACTTTGGAAATCATCCTATTCGGCACAGACAATATTTGATTGGTGGTGGAGAGAATATTTGTCCCTATTTGAAAAGTTACAGTCTGAAATATACCAAGGCAGGTTCCTGTGCCAATCTGCAGATACTTTGGATGTAAATATTGCCAGTCTACTGCAACTTCTGCTTTGTAAGCATGCTCCTGTCCCCATGGTTAGCCAAGTTGGCTGGAAACACCCAGAACTCAACACAAGCCCCAGTTCCCTAACTGAAATGCCACTTGACCCCCAACCTGTTGGATGGCAGCCTTTCAGTGAAATATGACTATTTTGACTGACAGCCTTTTCCACATTGTCGGCAACAAACTCATGGGCTGTAACAGTGATCCTGTATCACTGCTAGAGTATAGGGATTTCTTTGCTTGTCATAAACTCAACTACTGGCTTTGGCCATCTTAATTTAGAAACGTGTGTCAAAGGCATTACAGGAACATTCCATGGCATGCAAAGAAACCAAAGGGTTCTCCAGCACCATCAGGAGATTTCCATGTTCTTACCCGTCTTCTGGGTGACATGAACTGACCAGCTGGATTTGGGACTAGTTCAGATTGCAAAACAAATAAGCCCTCAAGGGAGATTTTTATGTTGTACGCAAGTTCAAATTCCAGGTAGACCAATGAACGTTCACTTCTTTTGAAACCCTGACATATGTACTGATATTTCATTTTGTTCTTAAAGAGTACATGCTTCAGAGCAAACATTTTCCAAGTGTGGCTTACAAACTGTTTAAAAGCTATGAGAATCTACACTTACAGCTAAAACATCTGCTTAGAAGTATATAAATGGGGGTGGGGAGAGGAGAACACCACTAGACAATAGAAATTGGAGACTAATACACAGAAATAAGATAAATTTACAGACTTTACAGCAATATAGCAGAGATAATACTAAAAGATTTGGGGATCTACAGATGTCTTTGTTTGGCCTCCAAGTGAGAAAAGCAACATTAAGCATCTTTCCCTGGAGAAATCTTGAGTCCAGCATTAAGAAAATCTTCTCCCAGGCCTACCTCAGCATGAGTGAGGACCAGAGAAAGGCCTCTATCTATCACTCAATGCATTTGGGGATCTCACTTGAAACACAAATACAGTATATCTAAAAGGAGTGTATGAAAGCTGGATCCATGTATTTTATCACTTCTTAACCGAGTCCAAAATGCATAATGTTCGTGCAAGCCACAAGGTTGCAAGCAAGGCCACATTGGAATCCCACCCCCATCTCCTACCTCATGTGTCCCTGGGCTCTGTTGCTTAGTGTAATGTTCAAGTATAATGGTACAACAAAGAACCAACTTGATCCTAAAAAGGACTAGAGCTATTTTCTGCTATCCTAAGTGACAGGATTAAGGACAATAAGCATGGCCTTTGTTTGGATTATGGGAATTGTAGTCTAACACCACTGTAAGACACTAAATTAGGAAGTCTATTTTAGATTTGCCCAACCCCTTGACTGTCCTAGAGAGAAAGGAAAACAAACAAAGTCTTTCCTGTTTGGTCTGGGCCTGGCCTAGCCAACGCCAGTCTTTCAGCCTCTGCTGTTTTTTGATTGATTCCCTGCTTCTGCACTTGCCATAACCTCTTGCACCTTGATTCTCCCTGACAGCTGTCTACAGCTCTGTGTTTATTGAGTACATGTGTCTAATTTTCACTTTCAGATGAGGAGGAGACAGAGAGTATTGGCTGGAAGAAGAGTCCCAGAGGGTAGAAAAGTGTAGAAACAGGTAAACAACTTTCACACCCACACCTTTCAACATTAAAGCACACTGCAGAAATGAAGACAATATGGTTTGCCTAAATAAAGTATCATGATAAGGGATTTTCAATGATCATTATAGTTGGCCCAAGCCATTAGTCCCAGCTTGCTGCATAAACTATGAGCTGTTACAGCCACGCTGATTCTCATTGTGTAACAGGCTCCTTTTTCTGTTGACTAAGCTGTTGACTTAGAGCAGCTGCCCATAAGGTTAGGCCATTCATTACTCAAACACAAGACTAAAAAACAATTATTAAAGCATTTCAATAAATACACTTGGCAGCTTGCATGGTGACTGGATTTTGCTTCCATTGAAGAGATGGGGGGAAAGAGAAAAAGAGAGAGAAAGAGAGAGAATATGGTAGTTGTTTGGGAGCTTTCCCATCTTCAGCCCTGTTTAGACAACTTGCACAAATCAATTTTCTCTATGTGGTTCAGTTTCCTTTGACAGTTTAAACCTCAATCCAATCACTAGGCTCCAGGGATTTCCGAACCACTGAAGATTAAAATCCTCCTCAAGCCCCAAGTGTTTTTACTAATGTTGTGTGTTTAATAACTCCACTTGTGAGCAATTTTGTTAGAAAAAATCCAGCACTGCAAAACCTCTGGAAACGATAGAGCTGAATTTTAAAAGTAAGATTGCCTTGTACTTGTCCTTGAATAAATGAGGTAATGCTGCTGCCACGCATCACGGAAACTGCCTATCAGGGGAGATCTATCATACCGAGCCAGCGCCAAAGAACCTGCAAAGTCATGTTCTTCTAACACTATGGCAGACAATAGTTGTGAGGATCTCCCAGTGATAAGAATCCTTGCTGAAGAGTTGTTGAAGAGCATGTTAAGAAATACAGGAACAAGCATGACATTTTAAATGAGAGAAGGTCAACTTTCCAGTTTAGAAATATATCATTTTTAAAGATTACTGCATAAAATATCATTTTGTGTAACTACTGACATGTTGGCAGAAACAAAACAACTGGCTTCTTGCTAATGGTCTCAGAATTAAATCAGCTTAAGTATGTAGCCAAGTCACAGGATTGTCATTAAAATTATTATTTTGTTGTTTATGCAAAAGCAGGATCTATGGAACCTTTCCAGGTTTCATTCATGGTCTTGAGATGCCCATTAGATTTCTGATCCTCTCCACCCTTGAAAATGAATAGCAAATGATCATTGTTCAACATCTCACGATACTTTAGACAGCCACCTCTGTATCAAAGGCTGATCACAACTAGCTGAGTCTTTTCTCTACCCAAGCAATCTTCTGTCACATGGGGCTTAGAGATTATCTTCTCTCCTTAGCCTGGCAACCAACATCTTACATCTTACATCCAGTAAGAATAAAACAAGTCTTTGGAGGAGATAAGCTTGAAATGTGAACTTCCCCTGACTCAATAAGGTCACCAATCCATATAAACTTGTCCCAAATCAACTACTTCCTTGCAGTTCCAATCTTCAGAGTGAGGTCTGCTATACTTCAAGAGACATGTTTACATATCCAAATGAGCTTGGCTAATTCAATGTTCTGGCTGTTCCTGCCATGCTCAATACCCTGACCAATAACATTGCCAGTTAGGTATTGTCCTTTGGTCACAAAGACACCAGCATTACTCCCAGCATACCTACACAATACCAGGACAGTCTCAACCTCACTTCCTCCAAGCACTATCATATTCATTTGGCTACCACGGAATAAAACCATTTATTTTACCAATCCATAAAATAACTTCAGTCTTATTTACACTCAAGAACTTTGCACCAATGGAAAATCAATCCATACTTGACCATGAACAGACCAAAAAACTAAGTCTAATAGACACTTTCCTACCTGAGGTAGCATCAGTTGCTGAAGAACCTCCTCGGTGATCAGAAGTTGGGCGTGATGACCCCGGCATGCTAACAGGCTCAGAACGTACAGGCTGGATCCTAAAATACAAACCATGGTACATTTCTGTTAAAGTATCAGTTTGTTGAAAAGAGTGCCAAAGGGCTTAAATCACAAAAAGAAAGTCAGTACAACTATCTGGAGCCAGATTCAGGTTGTGATAACTGAGCTATGTAATCCTGGCAGACAGGATTTCTACACTCTGACTTTTTGTTCTCCAGAATACCTGCCTGTATGAGCAGGGATGGTTTGAGATGCTCTTGTGTCCAACCTGAAAATGCCATAGAGAGGGTCACTGTGCCATAACAGTGAGAGTCAAGTTTAGGACGGGGGGGGATGGGTCAAGGTTCAAAGACTCTTATGTATACATGGGGAGGGCCATAGTTGTAATGCAATGTGAGAATGACCTTGAAAGATGGGGGGGGGGAGAGATGATAACAAGGGAGCGATCAGGTAAAAGGGGGAGGAGCCTGCAACTGAGTAACGGGCAGAGAAAGAAACTTAGAAAGGACTCGCCCTGACTGATCAGGCGGTAAAAAGGGACAGCAGGAGATTTGTACTTTCAGAGTTGCAAGATTGATGTCAGCCCTCCAGGGTAAACCAGATAGGAAACACAACCAGATGAGCTACTTCTACTTTATCGTTAGGCCAGATTAACAGAATCTTGCAACTCAAAGTACAAATCTCCTGCTGTCCCTTTTTACCACATGATCAGTTAGGGCGGATCCTTTCTAAGTTTCTTTCTCTGCCAGTTACTCAGTTGCGGGCTCCTCCCCCTTTTATCTTATTGTTCCCTTGGTAGCATCACTCCCCCCCCAGCCGCCCATCTTCCAAGGTCATTCTCACATTCCAATAGTTTAGATGCAGAGTACATCTGCAGAGTACGCCCAGAGTACATCTGCAGAGTACGCCCAGAGTCACCCGCTGGAGGAGATGGGAGACAAACAAACAAACAAACAAATAACATGCATTGCCTGCAGGGAGTAAAGATAAGGGCAGTGCTAAGTACTGTACGATATATATGTAATGGGGCACAATCTGCTAGGGCATCTTCCTGCAAATGTATGGTAACACAGGAAGTGCCAGACTCTGGTTCACAGGGCTTCTGCAGGAGACATGCCTAGTGGGAGGTGCCAGCAGCTGTGATCTGACTACCAGCATCCCCCCACACTTACTAGAATCCAAGTCCTCCATGTGCTTTTCATTACTCAATCTCTAGGCCTCCTAAATTAAAGGGGTATGACAGGACCTAGGAAGCATGCTTTCTCTGTTGGTGTGCTTCCTTCTGCAACAGCATATCACTCAACATTTGGATATCCCCAACTCTGATAGTCTTCCATTAGGCATTAAAAACTTGGATTTTCCCCTGGACATTGGGGACAGGGTGTTTACTGAACCTGTTCTTCAGGGGGTGTGAGATGGACTGGGGTGTTACTCTAGGAGGGAAGTATTTGGGTGATGTTTTTACTGTTGATTTTAACTGTTGTTCGCTGCCTAGAGTTGTATGTTGGGTGGGTAACCATACAGTATGAATTGAATAAATAAGTAAATAAATAGTTCATACATTCTGTGTGCTTATTGATTTTTTTACTGTTGCATCCTGTAAGCCGCCCAGAGTCATACAGATTGGGGTGGCCTATAAATTTAAGAAAGAGAGAAAGAATCCGTAGGGTGAAAACCAATCTAATCTCGGGAGGAAAGCTGTTCGAAAGAAGAGGAGAAGCAACTGAGATGGCCTGTCCCCGTGGTCCCTAAAGATGACATGCATACATATGAGTTAGAGACACACCACACCCATTTTTTCCCTACAAGCCCAGGGATCTAAATTCCCCCCTCCTTTGATGTAAGACTTCTGCAGAGCCCTTTGCCCTTAGTATGGATTTCAACTTCACAAGCCAAGCAAGTAGAAAATGGGCAAGGGCAGATCCAGAGTCATCAGCATCAAGCATTTTCTCTTGGCCCCAGAAGGGAAGCAGGCAGACCCATCATCTCAGCTGAAAAATCAGCACAATTTGCCTCTGCTTGCCTGTCTTCTAGAAGCAAACATTCTAGTAGACTACCTGTCCAATTTCCATGCCATCAGGTTGTTAAGTAGTTCATCACTCCAAAAATTGTTTCATGAGTTTGCATTTCTTTTTTCCTTCCCTTTTTTTCCCCTTTTGCATCTTGATCCTAAAACTGAAGGCAGAGATTTATAAGCTGTTCTAGGAGCTATTTTGCCTAGGGAAGAGGGAAAAATCCTTTCCTTAAATAAAGGTGCTGTTGCCAAGCTTCTACTGCTATACATACTGTAGATGAAGGGTTGCATAAAGAAGCTAACCTATGAATGAAACAAAAATTATTCACCTTTCATCAACTCTTGCTTAAATCAAGACACGGCCCCTCTTTTTTTTTTTAAAAAAAAGGAAACAGCCAGAAACTTAGAAGGCTAACATGAAGCATTTTATACAATTTTCTGTCAGCTCTTTCTTAGACATATCATGCTGGTGTGATGAGAAATAGGGAACAAGTCTTTGTTTTGTTTAAAATTCTAACCTGAGACTGTCTAAATCCAAATCATCCGTGTCGAAGTCCAGGAGAGGCTGTGGAGTATCACTGGGACCATGGGACTGAAGCACTGAAGAACTGGAGGAAATTACAGTTGTTTGACCTGAAGGGTGAATAGTCTTGAATTGGAACTGGGGGCCCATCCACAGGCGTCGGTGAGGTCCAGTGTGAGTCACAATTTCAACCTGGAAGTGTAGCATCCAAGCAATGTTAATGTGAAGATCAACCTGGCAACAGGTTCTAAAAATCAGGCCTGCATCCTTCTAATCAGCATATATCAGCTGAGACCAGATTTCTCCACGCCACTGTCTTCTAGATGTATTGGACTCTAATTTCTGCAGTTCTCAATCTAGTGACTCATGGAATCTGACCATGCTAACCTGGGAATTTTGACAGATCACGTCCCATATACATGAGAGACACCAGCTTGGAGGTGGCTAGTTTATGTGTCTTCACATGTCTCATGAAAACCCAAACTATGAACAAAAAAATTATGTCCTGCCTTTCATTCAGGAGCTTATACACAGTGCTGCTCCTCCTATTTCCCCCCACAACTCTATCAGATAGGTTGGAGTGAGAGTGAATAACTGGCCCAAAGTCCCCTTGGGAGGACCTGAATCCAGGACCCTTGACTCCTTGTCCAACACCTTCACCAATACACAACACGGTCTGTCTCTGAAAACCTCACGCCGGGTTCAAAATGGTGATGTTGCCAAAATGCCGGTCTGGGGTAGAGTTCTTCCCACTCTCATTTTAACTTGCATAGCTGACCCTATTATTTGGACATAATCAGTGACTGTTCCCTGCCCTTCCTGGGCAGCTGCCAAAAGAGACTCAACAGAAGGGAACATATATTCTGTGAAAGAGTATAACATGGAGATGACATTTTATACAGCATCAATGCTGTCCCTAATCCCTTTTACTGTTGTTACTCCTTCTTCCCAATTAATGCTGCAAACATAATACATATTCCTGACAGCACAAGGCCATTGAATTCAGTGGGACTACTCTTTGAACAGTCATTTTATTGGGCACCTGAGTTAATTCTATGTTGTGGTGGATTAAATTGTTGTAAACATTCCTGGTAACAATTAGGAAGGGCAGTATAAAATACTGAAATGCCTTTTAAAGGGATTTAGAACAATAGGGAGGAGGAGGAGAGGATAGAAAAGAAGCAACAGCAGATTAAGACCTCAAAATGCAGATGGGAGCAAAAGTGTTTCTGCAGTCTGGTGATCAAGTGCACTTGTATGAAAATGAGAGTCTTTTGAAGTTTCATAAGTTCTCACATCATAAAAGGGAAAAAAAGCTCTACACTTGTGAAAAGGTGGGATAGGGAGGACAAAGGCCTCCACATTAAACAGAAACAGAATGTGGCCCTTCAAAGTTATTTTTGTCCCTCCTGATGCTGGCTTTGGATTTGCACAGAAGTGCTTCCTTGACCGAGCTATTATTTCCGAGGCTGCAGAATTGCAATATTCCAGCTGACTCCTGATCATTATAACAAGCTTTCCTTTCCTTTTTTTTATGTGGTCTTCTTCTTGTTGGGCACCTCTTTTCAAAGCCTGAAGGAAGAGCATGCAGGCCATTCCATGTGCTGTCAACATTTCCCTTTTTCATGAGGGCAGCACAAGCTGTCTGCCTGATGCGTGCAGCTCTTGCGCCCCACTATGTAAAATAGGCCATAACTAAAGCCTTCTGCATACGTGGAGCTCAAAGCCATCAGCTCCATAGAGCCGAGAGGTAAACAGATGCTTCTGCGATTTCACCAATACGAGGAGGCAGATGTTCCCAGTCATCCCCTTGCCACACACAGGACAAACATATTGTATCTCCTTCCCAATGACAGCATGCATTACCCACTTTCCTAATTGAGAAGTGGAAGTGAAGGGCAGTGTTCCTTTGTCACATGGTGTAACCATTGATAACACTTCCATCTGGAAAAACAGACAAACGCTCCAGGCTTTAATCTGAAGTGACTAGCTGGCGGATGGCAAGCGTCTTTTGTGTTCTGAGGAGATTCAATTGCTTAACAAAATGCAGGCATTCCTGAACACTCCCTGAGCAGCCCTAAGACTTCTGCTGAGGCTCCTTTTGGAAAAAGAAGGAATGTAGGTTCCAGAGGACATCCAATAGGTCCACTTTTATGAACATACTGGCATTGCCGCAGAAACACTACGCATGCTCAAAAACACAGTTAACGTAGGCAGTCACCAGGATCCAGTTAAAGTGGATTCATGCACACTACCGTGAGGAGAGTCAGCCTACTTGGGCCATTACATTTTTACTTGGAATTTTCATTCAGTTAATATTTAGCCCTGAGAAGCAGTGTCTAGAGTCAATGCAATAGAGCAAGTGTGAGCAAACTGACCTCAGGTTTCTGTACTTAAATCCAGTGTTCAATCAACTGGCATCAGGGGCAGATGTGCACTTGGGAACACAGGAAGCTGCCTTGTTACAACCTAATCTATTAGTCCATCAAGCCTAGCATTGTCTTGTATGGTTGGCAAGGGATTGGCAAAATTTTTCTGTCACCTGCCATTAGACTTACTGTCTTAATGGGCAACTTCAACTAGAAAGCTTCTATATGCAAAACATGTCATCGTTCTCTTAAGTTACAATCCCTCCAAAATTAGCATAAGAAATGGGTACACCTAAGCACATGCTTAGCCCAATGATTTGTTTTCAGAGTCAGGAAACACAATAATTTCACATAAAAATCTGCTCCTGGTTTTTAACTAAACTCCCTCTATTATCCTAATTTTGGGAGAGGGAAGGGGAACTGACTTTAGTTGAAACAATTGCAATTTGGCACATGGAGATCCACACATAGATCCCAATAGGTGCTTTTCCTCCCCAAAATAATTTGTCACAAACCTTACCCAGGACAGGTAAAATCTGAGCTGGACTTTAACCATGGAGAAAAACCTTCATAATGCCATTGATCAGGAAGAGGGGTGGGGAACAGTGTCTTCCAAAACCTTCCATATCCCTTCTGAGAACTTCTGGAGAACTCCAGATTGCCTGCTTTTCTGCCAGAACCAAGTCCCTGTCATCACCCATACCTGTTAGCCCTTCAAGGTAAGGACGGTCAGGAAACAGGAATCAGCAGGAGTCTCAGAAAGTACTTTAATGCAGTTTGTAACTAAATCTTGAAAGCCTGTCAAAGGTCCTCTGTACTTCAGCTGAACACCTAACCCAATCATGGCAAAATTGTTTTGAGTTTCTTTCTCACACTTTCTACTTTCCCAGGACTGACACATCTTTTTGTAATGGCTCCACACTTTCCTGACATTCCATAACAATACCTGAGAAAGCCATCCTTCATCTTCTTGTCCACTGTGATCAGAAGCCAAACTGTCATAGGACTCATGGCGAGTAATCGGCCCTGGGCTTCCAAATGGAACTACTGTGGGGGAACAGAGATAGGAGGCAAGAAAAAAATCAAACATGATTAAGAAAATGTCAAAAAGTACATGGCACAGTTCTTTTCTTTCATTTATACCAGGGTTCCTCAACCTTGGCAACTTTAAGACGGGTGGACTTCAACTCCCAGAATTCCCCAGCCAGCCTTGCTC